CATGTGGCCAGACAAATTGTGCAAGGGGTGCTGAAGCAGTGTTGACGAGTACCGGATTCAAGTTGGTGACTGGGTCTATCGGTGCCGGAAGATGGACAGGAGTTGACCATGGAGAATCTGAGAAAGTGGCGGAGAGTGAAATTGTCAAAAGCTGGGAGAGTACATGGCCGTATATTCTGTGGTGTTCAGTGTACATGAAAAAGTACGGATGACAAATACAGAAGGAGGCAGAGTGCTATAGTTGTGGGACATGCCAGGGACTATCTGGAAGAAAAGTGAGACAACTGCGAATTTGATTCAGGGTGACACAGGGCGACAGTGAAATTCCTTCAAGTTTCAGACAAGCAGTCAAGAAAGAGCGGGGGCGTTGAGTTCAGGTAACTCTTATATGTGGCGCTCAATATGTGAGTTGTTCACTTTCACGCAGACAGTGATCGATGTGTGATGATGTTGAACAGATTCTCTGAAAGTTTGGAGCACAAAGTAGAGTAATGAGGAACTTAATTTTGCTCGAGTGTTGACTGTGAAGAAGACGAGAAGGGACTACAGTTGCAAGTGGAGTCACATGGAGTCAGTTTCCAACCCGATTCCACAGCGCTGCTGTGGGTTCCCCTCCCGTTTCTCCGACTGCTCTGGCAGCGAAAGGGTGGGGGAACCCTGGATCTATGCTTCTGGTGTGTATATAGGGTGTGGGTATGTGTGGCTGGCGGCGGCGCTTTTGTGGGAGCAGGGGCGACGCTTGGGCCAATAAGGTCTCCCGGATCTGTGCTCCCTCTCGTCGGAGTTCTTGATGATGACGGAGATGGATCTGTGGGTGCAGTCGGTGGTGTGGTGTTCTCCTGGTGCGGGTGTTGTGGTGGAGGTGACGCCGGCATCATGGAGATTTTTCCCTGACCTCGTCTTCGCGCGTGGTGAGTGCTACTTTGTGCTTGCCATGGAGCTGCTGTGGGTGGTGCAGCAGCCTGCTAGAGTTCGTCGATGGTTGGCTTCGCTGTATGTTCAGGAGTTGTTAGACTCTGGATCTATGTGCTCTCACCGGCATTTGTTCGGCACAAGTGGTGACGCAGTATTGGTTTGGCTCCTCTCGGGCATGCTGGTCCTTTGGACCGAAGGTGGAGATTACGCGGCTCAATTTCATGTCATATTTCACCGCACCTTCCTATGAGCCGTCCGATTATATTAATTTACTTACCGTGCAACACATGCTACCAAATTTATTGAGATGACATAATATTTTGGCCCTCGTGACAACCTAAATAAAATATACATAAGGTTATATAATGTTCGTTCCAATTTTACCTATATTCCTTACAAAAGTTTTTTATGAGCTTTTTGGGCTTCTAGAATATCCCGCCCCTATCCAACTTATTCTAAAAGCCCAACCAAATTTATTTTTAGAAACCTACTAAATAAAAGCTTAACTAGTAGTCTTTTAAAAATTAATTTTGGTTGGGCTTCTAGAATAAACTGGACACAACTTATTCGAGAAGCCAATAAAAGAACTGGCCCTTCCTCCATCTCCTCCTTTCGATGGCCTATGGATCTGAAGCGTGAGTAGTTTACCACATACCTACGAATTCATAGCTAGTAGCTAGATGTCTTCTTCTCTCTCTTTGATTCTTCATACCATGTTCTCCTCGATGTTTTTGGAGATCTATCCGATGTAATCTTCTTTTGCAGTGCGTTTGTCGAGATCCTATGAGTTGTGGATTTATGATCAGATTATCTATGAATATTATTTGAATCTTCTCTGAATTCTTATATGCATGATTTGATATCTTTGTATTTCTCTTCGAACTATCAGTTTGGTTTTGCCAACTAGATTGATTTTTCTTGCAATGGAAAAAGTGCTTAGCTTTAGGTTCAATCTTGCGATGTCCTCACACAATGACAAAGTAGGGGTAGCGAGGCACGTATTGTATTGTTGCCATCGAGGATAAAATGATGGGGTTTACATCATATTGCTTGAGTTTATTCCTCTACATCATGTCATCTTACTTAAATTGTTACTTTATTCTTTATGAACTTAATACTGTAGATGCAGGTAGGAGTCAGGGCGATGTGTGGAGTAATAGTAGTAGATGCAGACAGGAGTCGGTCTACTTGACACGGACGTGATGCCTATATTACATAATCATTGCCTTGGATATCGTCATAACTTTGCGCTTTTCTATCAATTGCTCGACAGTAATTTGTTCACCCGCCGTATTACTTGCCCTCATGAGAGAATCCTCTAGTGAAACCTATGGCCCCCGGGTCAATTTTCCATCATATTAGCTTCCGGTTTTACTATTGTTGCAATCTTTTATTTTCATATCTATAAACCAAAAAATCCAAAAAATATCTTTTTTTATTTTTATTTATCGCTATCATATCTTACCTTTGCAAGTGACCGTGAAGGGATTGACAACCCCTTTATCGCGTTGGGTGCAAGTGTTTGATTGTGTGTGTGCAGGTATTGGTGATTTGCGCGTTCTTCTCCTACTGGATTAATACCTTGATTCTTAACTGAGGGAAATACTTATCTCTACTTTGCTGCATCACCCTTTCCTCTATAAGGAAAAAATCAACGCAAACTCAAGAATTAGCAGTTGGCTTCATTGTATGTTTATGAGTGGTTGCTGGACTCTCGATCTATGTGCTCTCGTCGGTGTTTGTCCGACGCAAGTGGTGACGAAGTACTGGTTTGGCTCAGCAGTTGGCTTCATTATATGTTTAGGAGTGATTGCTGGACTCTGGATCTATGTGCTCTAGTCGACATTTGTCCGGCGCAAGTGCTGACACAATACTAGTTTGGCTCCTTTCCGGCATGCTGGTCCTTTGGACCGAAGGTGGAGACTTCCTGCCGTCAACAATCCACGCGCACAACCAAGGATTTCGCTAGCTCCAGAGGGAGCGGTAGCCGTGGCGATGGCGGCGCGCCCTCATCTCGCGCAGGGGTCGATGCTGGATCGGTTACTCAGGGACTTGGATGTAATCTGCTTTTTTGGGTTGCGTTGCATCACTGCTTAATTTTAATATAGTTTTGGGGTTTTCTTGCAAAAATATGTGGGATTATAAAGCTCAATTTCATGTCATATTTTACTGCACCTTGGCATGCGCCGTCCAATTATATTAATTTACTTACCATGCACAACACATGCTACCAAATTGATTGAGATAAAATAATATTTGGCCCTCGTGACAACCTAAATAAAATATACATAAGGTTATGTCCACTGTATGTTGTTCGTCCAATTTTACCTATATTCTTTACAAAAGTTTTTTAATGACTTTTTTGAGCTTTTAGAATATCCTGCCCCTACTCAACTTATTCAAGAAGCTCAACCAGTTCTTTTTAGAAACCTACTAAATAAAACTTGACTAGTAGGCTTCTAAAAAATAATTTTGGTTTGGACTTCTAGAATAAATTGAGCAGGGCCAGACTATTCCATCTTATTCTAGAAGCCAACAGAAGAACTGGCCCTTCCTCCATCTCCTCCTTTTGATTTTTCTCTCATCTCAGGGTTTTACTTAAAAAGTGACTCAACTGTCTCACCTCATATTGACTTACCAAATAAAATAATACTTTTTGATAAGTCAATAAATGTTTACCAAATAAAATTATACTTTTGCACAATCGCATTGATATAGACATGCAATTATTTAGTATTATGTATAAATGAAGACTATTAAAATTAATGGTACTTCCTTTGTTTCTAAATATAAGAACTTTTATAGATTTTAATATGCACTAAGTATAGAGCAAAACGAGTGAATCTACACTCTAAAATATATCTATATACATCTGCATGTATGTAGTCCATATAAAATGTCTAAAGTGACTTATATTTAGAAACAAAGAAAGTAGTAAATATCACATTAATTATGATATTAATTATCGTGCCAGGACCGGTCAAAGCTGTCAAACAGCCTGACACCAACCCTAACTAGCGTCGTTATTGCAATCGCCAATACACCTCCCCTAGTTCTCACCTCCTTTTTTCTCTCTCTTTTTATTGGGATGTGCGTTGCGCACAAAACTGTGTGGCCAGTTTTGTGTGCGGCCGCACATCCCATAGAATCAGAGGAAGCACCCCACCACGGCCCACACGTCGGAGACACATTCCCGCCCGCGTGTGCCCCTTCTCTTCTACAAAACCACGCGCCCGCATACACGCCGCGGCAGAGCAGCGGAGCAGCAGCACACTCGGCCGCAGCCGCGTCCCCTCCTCCTCCTCCTCGTCCGGGCCAGCGAGGGCCGGACCAGCCCGCCGCCGCTCACCGTCGCGATCCGCTCCTCCTCGGCCGCCTCTGCCCCCGCTCCTCCTCGAGCTCTCGTCCTCCTCTTCCTCCTCCTGGCGGCAGGGAGAAAGACAGCGGGGGCGCCTCTTCTTCCGGCACCAACAATGGCGGTGGGCTCCCTCTCCTTCCTCACCTCCTTTTCGTTTTCACAGCCTCTCCGATTCCAAGTTTTTCCGAGGAATCATGGATTGTGTTCCGCAGAATCTTCGGCGATTACTCTGCACCGCGTCCGTACGAGGAATTTCCACTTACTGGAAACTCCGGGAAGATTCTTTTTCCCCTGCCGCTCTCCGTTCCGATGCAGGGGCAAACTCTCGTGTTTGTTCAAGAAAGATGCGTGTGATTTAGTTTTGCATATGAGGGTTTTGGGGGTTTTCTCGCTCGCTTAAAAAATGGTTTTTTTCCCCAACTTGCTGGATGCGTTACAGACACTAGAATCGGATGCAGTCAACTTGTTGATTTTAGCAGTCACCGGATTTTATGTTGCATAGATAGCGTGGGATTTGTCAGCTCCTCTCCGTTTCTCATAGTGTGGGATCAGTTTTAGTAGTTGTCATTGTCTGCATTTACCTGTCAGATTGTCAAAATACAGAGCTGTATAGCAGAATCTCATCTGAATCCTTTTTCTTAACTTCCTTTTGATCTAATATATATGTTTTCTTTAATTTTACTGGATGTATTCTGGACCGCAGAGCAATGAGAATGCTGATTCCGTGATGCGCATTTTTACTGTCGCATTGTACTTCATTTCATATGCTGTTCATGTCGACATGTTGGCTCTCCCTGTGGTCAGACATGGCTTTAACAAGTCAGACACATTGACTCTCTTGTGACCACGCATCATGTTGCATTGGCTGTTAACCACTCAACCTGTTTGTCTTTCTCTGCATTTTCTTATATTGTTCGTGTATTAGGATGGCGCCGAATAAGATGCTTGCAGTAGTTTGTCAATTTGGTAAAAGCATCATCAAATGGTACTGCAGCAGTGCTTGTTTAGTTAATCTTACTCTAGGCATGATAATGAGCAACCCTGGTCAATCTGCTTTCCTTTTTTAGATTTACCTACTTGATCGCTTTAGTTTACTCTCATAAAGTCTCTTTAGCCCTGATATGCATGTCGTGTCCTACTTCCCAGTGATCTATCCTTCCTAGTATCTGAAACATAACATACTTCAGTTAGTTAGGCATCCCCAAAACTACAAATCAAACTGTTTCAAATTGAGCTGATGTATATTCTCCGGGCATTAGCTGAATTTCTTCTCGTGACAGTGGTCTAGGGGAGTTTGTTCAATAAAAAAAGGGTTTTCCCTTCTTCCTTTTCGATGCATTCTAAACTCTAGAGTCAAATGCAGCTATACTGACTTCATGCTGGAGATTTTAACTGCGATGTCTTGTGGCTGTTGTGGACTTGTGGCATAATAAAATTATTATTATTCTCTCGCATCATTTTTTTCTCTATAATTGCTTTTCTGGTGGTTTGCTTTCAATATTAATCGAGTTGTGCTTAACTCATGTCACAGGGCTGGACCAGTGATAGTGATGACAGTGATAAGTTTGAGTGGGACAATGATGGTGTGGCTGAGCCCTCATCGGCTCCGGCTATGAGGAACTTCGATTCTCCTGGCCCATCCACGCTTGTAAGCCATATATAATTTTTTGTATTTCAGCACAAGTGCTATCCATGATTTGTTATAATTATGATCATGGTCTGATATTTGTTCGTGTAACTGTGCAAAGGGTTCTAATGAGTGGATCAACGGGGAAGTGCTGCCTACTTCTTTGATCGAGCGATATGTGGTAATGGGCTTCCCCAAAGAGATGGTCATGAAGAGTATTAAGGAGATTGGTAATATAAAAGTAATCATTTCCATTTTATTTAGTTGTTTGTGTTTGTACCATTTGTTAACACCTTTTGATTTCAGGACATAGTGATGCAGATGCACTGCTCGAGCTACTGCTCACATATAAGGTATTTGACTATTTATCCATGTGCTTTATTACCGAATTTATTCTATAGTGCTCTTGATTCATGGCAAGGATTGTTTATTCCAATTGAGATGTGAAATGCAGGCACTAGATGACGATGATGCAGGGGGTAATAATCACTCTACTTCTGGCTGCATCCTCCCTGTTGTTGAAGATGATGATGATCTTGATTTTGAGAACTGGGATGGCGATGATGATGCTGGTGGTAGAGAGTCAAGCTCTGATGATTCTGGTTATGAGGTAGATGATTACTTATCTTCAGTTCAGTAGCCAAGAATTCTTTGATCATATGCTGATATATGTGAAATCTTTGCCATGCACACCTTGAACACCCCTGTTACTTACTGTTTTGAGATTTCATCAGTGTAGTTTGAGCACTTCATTTTTTTTACATAGAATTTTCACCATGTTACAATTTTATCATTTTAACAGCGTAATATAAGGAGTGAGTTGAATAACATTAGACAATATCTCCCGCGTAGTGTATTATTGTTCTGCTTGTGTGTGATTTTCATGATCTGAAAATTTATTTTTGTTAGACACCACTCGTTTTCTCTTCGGTTCTTATGCATTTGAGTATTAGTAACAAGGCTTGCGACTTGTGGAGTTATGTTGGTACAAGAAAATTATATTACAGGCGCTTTAACATGCAGAAATCCAAATTCATGCACCGGTTATGGTTTTTGATACATTTTGTAGTCCAAGATATAGTATACAATCATACTGAGCTCAGAAGAGTTTGGAAGAAATAGAAGCTAAACTTGAATGCTGAACACTGACCTAAATAATTCAATCCTGCACTGTTGTAAAGTTTTTGCTGCAACCCAGCTCATCACTTCTCCATAAAGGAGTGTTGAGAACTAGCATGCAGGTTAGGACGAACAAGCTCTTCAAGAATTAAATGGCATAGCTCAAGATTCTTCTTTTGACTTTCAGCTACGCAAAATGATCATAATACTGGAGAAGAGCATCACTTACCATATTAGTTGCATCAAACTGCTCTCCAAGACTTTTACCTGTTAGAGCTTAGGAAAATTAGGGATTCAATCCATTACTGTTCAGCTAGAAATGCATACACAAAGTAACTAGTTTAGAAATCTCATAATGTTATATATGATGTGATAGTCGATTTTTGTATTAGTTATACAAATAAAATTATGAAGATAATTATTGTATGGTTTAAACCTGTTCATGGCAAGATATATGTAAAGACTAAAAACAGCAAGTAGGGAAACAGTATGGAGTGTCTGATATGTACTACACCTGCTCAGCAAAAAAATATCGTGATTGCTAGCGAAGCGATGAATCTGAAATAGGATGGGATGTGAATATCATCATCTTCTCCTGAAGATGCACGCATTTGCCTCACCATCCATCCATCAGTATTTAAAGTTCTGTCACGAAAGCAGCATGGAGTGACCAGATGATTGTGTTTCACCATTGCTATGCATCCAGCACAACCTGCACAACTTTACCTGTACGTTTGGTTTATTCCAGTCCATCACAACCGGTACTTCATATTGCTACTTGCTACTGTATTAATGTCATTCTCAAACAGCACCTTAGGAAGTTGAGTTCCTAAATTATTTCGTTAATTTAATTTTTTTGTCAGTTTTGTTCGCTTATTTCTTGGGTAGTCTGTGCTATTCATCTCTTGACCACTGATTATCATAGGCCCCCTTCTTTTCTCTGGCCATATACATGTCACTTCATGGTTGTATTTTCCTATCAGCAGCCACTTAGTTTGGCATTAAGAAATCAGTGAGATACATATATCAAGTATTTTCTAATCTCGGTTTTTGTGGTACTTTTGTGCAGGATTTTCTGCGAGAGATGTCAGAGAGGGATGAGAAGATCAAGTCATTGGTAAACATGGGCTTTTCTGAAGATGAATCAAATGAGGCTATTATAAGATGTGGTATGCCTCTTTTTGAAATTGTTGCCTTGATGGTCATTCTTTCAAGGAAAGAGCACCTTATTATATATATTTCTGTTTAAATTCTCCTAGGTGTGGATGCTGATATCTGTGTATTAGTTGATTCGGTTAGTGCATCTCGGGTCGCAGAAGATTGTCATTCCAGAAACTTATCTGACCATCAGGTACCGTGTGGTTTGACGTACACTGGAATAAGAAGCCACTTTCGCTCTTCTAATTTGATGTAAGGACACTACAATTTGTATACATTTGGCAGGTTACAGACAGATGCTTCAATTCCTTTGGAGGCAGAAAGAAAGCAAGATTGATGGAAGAGAGCAGGAAAAAGAGGAAGAGGAGTGCATTTGATCTCCATCCTCTCCCTCCTCCCCCCGCGTCGCCTCCCCGAGCGGGGCGACCGGGGGATCTCGTCGCCCCCTCCCAGCCCCCCTCCCCCTCCTCCCCTTCCGCCGCCGTCGGCCTGGGCCACCGGGCCTTGCCCGCGTGGTGCCGGCGGCGGCGGCCCCGGCCTTTCCCCCCCGCTTGGCGCCTCGGCTCGGGCGGACGGCGGCCGATGGGGGTGCTCCTCGGCGACATTGGATCCGGCGGCGGCGCAGTGCTGGGTGGTGTGCGGGCGGTGGCGCGGCCGCTTGGCGGCGGGGCGACGCGGTGGCTAGCGGCGGGCCTTCCCGGCCCAGATCCAGGCCCTTTTGGGCTCGATCTGGGTCTGGGCGGGCCTGGCCTGGTCTGCTTGCGGCGTCTCCGGCGGGTCGGGGGCGTGACTCGTGCGGGGGGTGGTGGCGACGGCGGCTCGCGTTCTGCAGCGCGGCGACGGGGGCTTCGCGAGCCCGTTTCGGGCTCGGCTGGGCCAGGGGTGGCCCGGTTTGCCCCTGTGCTGCGTCCGGCCGGATCCCGCCGGGGGCGGTGGAGGATGTCCCCTCCCGCGAGGCTGCTGATGTTGCCGCTCCTGGTTCCCG